TTGATAAAAGTTTATAATGTTCTTCAAAAATTATATTAGAATATTTAATTGAAATTTTTTGTCACACTTACAACAATTTCATCATTAATTTATAAATACTCTATTCTTTTTCTTCTTCATATTTTCATTGCGTAAAAAATGATACTTCTCATGTTTTTACACCTTTTATGGAGAACAACTATCATTCATTTTTTTAGATAAGCCGAAATCTACTGTATATCCCATTTTTTTAGACCACTCATGTATTTTGTGTAATAAATTGATAATTAGTTTCTGATAGTTGATTTGTTTTTCATTCTACAATTTTTCCTTCCAAGATTATTTTCCACTTCTTACCATTTTAATAAAAAATTATTTCCCTTTTACCTTCAATTGAGTCATGAAATTGAACCTAAATTTCGAAATTACATATATATATATTCAAAATCATGGTTTTTATACATAGTTTGTGCAGAATATGATAACATATATAATCAACATGTGATATTGTCAACAATTGGTGGTGATGATGGGACAAGTATCATGTAGATGACAATGTAAATAATAATAATATTAATGACAACAACCATTAGTGAAGATGTTTGGAGATGTAGTGGTAAGGTTGATGGTAAAAATAGTATTAAGTGTAGATGCATATAATGAATTATAACATAGACATAGTGGTATATATAATATGAATCTTATGTTAGAATTTGTGATTCAAAATGGTTTTTTATCAAGTAATTGTGATTAAAAATGTTTTTTATTTATTTATTGTTTCAAATGTTAAAGATGATGGATAAATATTAATTTTAGGTTTATTAGAATATCAATTAGGTTTTAGAATTATAATTTGAAAGTTAAAGGACTCTAGAAGTTATATAGCTACATTTTAATGTTTAATTCAATTTCAAAATCAAATTCCATACCTAATTTCACGTGCTAAACATACACAAATGTAGAACACAGAATTTTTCAGCCACTTAATAGCTGGTTACGTGCTCTTTTCTATGCCATTTTTCCTTATCTATTTTAGAGTTGATTTGGATGAATGACCATCAATAAAATTGTGAAGAATTATCACAAATTTTCTACAGAAAGAGTGAAATGCGACTGAGGCACTTGAGGACCCTCGTTGAATTTTGCAACCCTAATTTTGTCCCTTTAAAATGGAAATTAAGGAGAAAATGACATAAGTTTTTGGTAGGAGTTCCTTCACTTTCTTTATTAATTAACCACATAAAAGAGTGAGGTGTATATTAACTTTTTTTATTATTATTTCTTTACATCTTAATCCCATCTCATTAATTGCTTTAAAATTTTTAAATATATTTCTTTCTAGAAGATTAAGAGAACATCAAACCCAGAGTCAAAACCTGATACATTGAATAGATTTTTAAATAGACAAAGATCTACTAATATCAAACTATTAGAAGACTGAATAAATATACAACAAAATACTGAGAAAAAAATAGATAATCATAACATAATAGATTTTTGGTATGATATTAAAAAAAAACATATATATTTATATATTTTTGGTACGGGTTTTGTACGTCGTAATTAATTAGGCTAGCAGTGTACAGCAAATTAAACAGCTTGCACCATGTTTTTTAATAGAAAAATTGGAAAAATAGAAAAATTGATTCTAGTTGTTGTTATTAGTTGAAGTGAATAACGTTCACATCAAGTGACATGATATTGGCCTTCACTTTGAGTTGACACTCTTAGCTGTTAACAATTAAGAAAAGATCCCCTATCTCACGTACTCCTGGATTTTCTAGACTTTACAAAAAGTACTTGGTGTCGGAGAAGACCCCAATTGAAGAAGTAGTCTTGTAAACTTCCTCCATAAACAATACAACTCCACTGGTCCTTTTCACACACTTCAAATTTTCAAAAAATTTATAATATATACTAGGGTTAGCATGTATATATTTGAATACCTTGTTTTCCAACCAATAATGTTGAATTTGAATATCTTGGCTAGAGAAGAAAGAATATATATGAGTGTGGTAAGAAAACATAGGTGTACATGTACTTTGGTACAACTAGAAACTAGAACATGACCATATACGAAAATAAATAACGAATTTCCATATCTTGTGAGCCCTTTGTTTGATACTTGTCTGTCTCTACCCTACAGGCCCAAGTCGCCGCACAGTCGTCATATGATCCCTCCACTCATCATCACCTTCTCTTTCTTGCATCAAGATTCACCCTAATAACTGCAGATCTACACTTGATCTTCTCTACCACATGGATACTCATCATCTCCATATTCTTCTCATCTTTTTCTATCATATCATACCTTCCCATTTCTTATTCCTTTCTTCAAATCCACAAAAACAACACCATCTCCGCAAATATCTTAAATTCCTAACTCCTAAACTCTCTCCTGCATGCATATCTAATGTACCCATGCCAAAATCTTCATGTCATTCAACTATATTGGTATGTTACTTTCATCAATCTCATATCATCTGAGAAGATAGGAATAACAATTTCTAAAAATGTTATCATGATATGTGTGAAACCAACATAATAATCTTTAACAATATTATCATTGTAAATTTGAAATGCAAACATTCTTATTCTTAAACAAAATATATATATTATTTGTCTAATAATATTATCGTATAAATCTAAGGTAAACATTCTTTTTTTTTAAATGAACAAATAATACATATAATATTTCTCGTATCACAGTATTCTACTGTCATATCTAACTGATAATATATATAAATTGTATGATAATATAATGAGAGAGAGCAAAGATAATGCACACTGTTTCTTTAGGGCGCGCAGACACATCCACCACACCTAACCATTTTATTTAAGTCAAATCATACTCAAGTGATTAATCTTGGATGCAGATGACAATTATTCACTTAATGTTTCTTGGATTTAATTATTAGTGTTGTTTTAGAGCTTAACTATATTGTGTTTAGTCCAAACATAGATTACCTTCTGGGTATCTGAAAGAAAATTTTGTTTTCATCATTATTTGTTAAACTGCATATTTTGAGAGAATCCAACCATAGATTACCTTCTGCGTATCTTTTCTTAATTATTGGTTGAATGATCATTACAAGGTGTCAAATCAGCTTTGGATGATAATAATGATGAGTTTATATGGTTGTGCTATTTATCAAGAATATATGTCTGCATTGAGATTCAACTTCATGAATTAAGCTGACAGGGTTTTTGCCGAAATTATATTGATTCAGTGGACATTATATCGGTTATAAGTGATATATACAAAAGAAGAATTAATTAGTGACACACTAGGCTTAATTTAATACAACTTTTAGTATGCTTAGAAGTAAATTAATGAAAGCATGCATGTAGTAGCAGTAGGTGAATGAATATTGAATAGCTAACATGGGCATGGTCTCATTATTCTGTGTTAATCCCAATGGATGCATGAGAGTTTGTTCATATGCTATATTTCAAATCTCTTTAACCGAAAAGAAAACCTTCCAAATCAATCAATCATTGCGCAAATCACTTATAATTATGCCCATAACTATCTTAAACAGTTGAATGAAAGTGAAATGATGAAGAAGAATGTAAAAAAAGTTGAAAGAATAGTGGTTAAATTCTGTTGTTTATGATTGGCTCCTTCTCATGAGCCACTCAGTCAAATGTGTACGGCTCTGGTGGTAGGGTCAGAAGATCTTGAAGAGCTTCTCTTTTATCCACTTTAGCTGCTTGCACATCAAAATCTTGTTCAATCTTTTCAGTTTCTTCATCTATCTTTGTCAATTGTCAGGTCATTAACTTAACTACTCTGAGAAAATCCTCAAATGTACAACCTTTTCAGATCTTAATGAAATGATTAATTTGGTTTTAATTCCCAAATAACATTTTGCCATTTTTTTCTGGAAGGTCGTATTTTTAATACCATTTTTAGAAAACATGTTATGGTTGTTTATATAAACTCTATTTGTAGTTAAATGTTACATTAACTTTTTTTTTGTTACATAAAATATGTTTAATCAACTAACATGTTTTTAATAAAAAATAAAAAATAATAAATTTGCGAATCTAAATATTCAAAACTATAAATTCTCACTTAATTACATTAATTCAAATACAACAAGAATATTTTTTTAACAATAATACAAAATTACTTATCAATTTATTATTTTAAACTAATTTTTGTAAAAGGTATGAATTAGTTGAAAAAAAATCTTATAACACATGAACAGGCATATTGGGATGCATTAATTATGACATATTTGGAAGTAAAAAAAAAAGGATATTGATTTTTTCATAACTAAAAGTTACTTTGTGTATAAATTATCTTTTTACACTGATTTTTCAAAATTTTATTTTGAAGTTATGTACAAAATAATTTTGATTTATAAAATATCATATATATATATATATATATATATATATATATATAAAGAAGCTTGTTAAGAGATGTTTAGACAATATAGAAAGTTATTTATTAGAGCTCAACCACTTTTAATTTAATAAAGAAGAAAACCGAGTATAAAATAGTGTAGTGACATTAACAAATAGTATTAAAACACTACCCTATTAAACCGACACATGAAGAGAAAGAGGGGGACTAAATTGGGAAAAAACCCAAACTCCAAAACAACAACCATATATTTTAGTGTGATCTGGCATCATGTACAGTTGTCACAAGTCACGTCAGATAAATCACTCTGAGTAAAAATTTTGAAGGTAAAGCACCTTTCTATCATTATTTCATGTTTTTATATAATTTTTTTAATGTTTTAGTACATGACCTCAGCCTATAAATAGAGAGGGATTTTGAGATTCTCAATCAACGGATTCCCTTTCAGCTTTCTAAACTTTCTTCTCTCTTGTATCCCTCTTCCTCCTTTTCCCTCTCTACTCACTCTCTCACTTGCCTAAGCTTTTTCCATCCTACAAAGGCCTCTACACGATCAAGATTTTCGCTTTTTCTTAATTATACTTGTTTTTCTTTCACTTTCTGTCATACCCTCTAATTTTCTCAACCCCTTTTTCGCGGAAAGATTATGGGAAAAATGATTGAGCAACCTCGTGTGGAGCTTTCCAGAGTTGCAGTTTCTGAAACTCATGGGGAAGACTCTCCCTATTTTGCTGGATGGAAAGCCTATGATGAGAACCCTTACGATGAATTAACAAACTCCTCCGGAGTTATACAAATGGGATTGGCGGAAAATCAAGTAAGCATATAGCATGTGTATCAATTCAAAGTATTTGTGGCTAGCTAGCTAGTCATGTAGCAGAAGATTAGAGAAACTGTTTATTTAGTGCATCTAGTTAACCTTTTTATGTTGTACCTTTCAGGTTTCATTTGATTTGCTGGAAAAGTACTTGGAGGAACACTCAGAAGCCTCTACCTGGGGAAAAGGAGCTCCTGGTTTCAGAGAGAATGCTTTGTTCCAAGACTATCATGGACTTAAATCATTCAGAACAGCAATGGCGAGCTTCATGGAACAAATAAGAGGAGGTAGAGCAAAATTTGACCCAGATAGAATGGTCCTCACAGCAGGAGCAACTGCAGCCAATGAACTCTTAACCTTCATTCTTGCAAACCCAGGAGATGCTCTACTGGTTCCAACCCCTTACTATCCAGGGTAAGAATGAAGCTCCATAAACTAATGACATATGAAAACACCTTAAAATGAATACATGGTCTCATGTCTATGAATTTTCAATCTCTACGTTGCACTAATAGTGATCTTTTAACACAATAATTTACTTCTCTTATCCAAACAATTTAAACTAGTAATAAAACTCAACTTTTTATTGAGTATATCATAGCAACTCTTGAGTGGTTTTGCACACTTAAAAGTCTTAAAAGTAAGACATATATATGGTTCTTGAGTCTAAAGTTTTTTTTTTTTTCTTGACAGATTTGATAGAGATTTAAGGTGGAGAACTGGGGTGAACATAGTTCCAATCCATTGTGACAGTTCAAACAACTTCCAAATCACTCCTCAAGCTTTGGAGGCTGCATATAAGGAAGCAGAAGCCAAGAACACAAAAGTGAGAGGAGTATTGATCACAAACCCTTCAAACCCCTTGGGTGCAACTACTCAACGCTCGGTTCTGGAGTATCTTCTTGACTTCGTGACTGAAAAAAATATTCACCTTGTCTCAGATGAAATCTACTCAGGCTCAGTGTTCTCCTCCTCGGAGTTCGTGAGTGTTGCAGAAATCCTCGAAGCTCGCCAATACAAGGACGCAGAAAGAGTTCACATTGTTTATAGTCTCTCCAAAGACCTTGGTCTTCCCGGTTTCAGAGTTGGCACTATTTATTCATACAATGATAATGTTGTGACCACAGCGAGAAGGATGTCAAGTTTCACCTTAATATCCTCTCAGACACAGCACCTTTTGGCTTCTATGTTGTCTGATAAGAAGTTCACTGAGAACTACATTGACACCAACAGGGAGAGGCTGAGAAAGAGGTACCAAATGATCATTGAAGGGTTGAGAAGTGTTGGCATAGAGTGCTTGAAAGGGAATGCAGGGTTGTTTTGCTGGATGAATCTGAGTCCACTTCTGGAGAAACCAACTAGGGAAGGAGAATTGGAGCTTTGGAATGCCTTTTTGCATGAAGTGAAACTCAACATATCTCCGGGGTCTTCTTGCCATTGTTCTGAACCAGGTTGGTTCAGGGTGTGCTTCGCAAATATGAGCGAGAAGACACTGGAAGTGGCATTGGAGAGAATACGTAACTTCATGGAACGAATAAAGAAAGACTAATGGTACTTTGATAAGGTCTATCAATGTTGCTGCTATGTTGTATTGTTATTTGTTATTTTTTGTTTTCTTTTTGAAAATGGTTCTTTCCATTTTGATAAATTCTTTATTTTTGGGTAACGGCAAAACCCAAAACTCATGTAAAAGCACTTGTATACTGTAGGGCAGATTCACTGCTGAAAAAGTGGTGAATTAGTGTCTTAGTTCTTGTTTGCTTGCTTTTCTAAGCAAGTTAATTACTTGGAAATTAAACTCTTGTATGATTAAGTTGATATTGTTGATCAATGAAAATTGTGTTCTCTATGTATACTTTTTAGTCTCACCCTCTCTCTTGCATGTCTAAATTAATTCAACTATTCACCCAAAAAACTAAAAGCAACAAAAAAAAACACTAAGATTTTCCATAATGTCATAGTAATTCTCTTACTATAATGCCGTTTATGTACATTCTAATTAAGTTTAGTTATTTGTAATCAATCTTAAAGTACATTGACTAATACTTATTTGTTTACACCTAACACAACATTTACTTTTATATTTACAAATTTTTTATGACTAAATTCTTCCACTCTTATATGGATTTATTAACCTTAAAAAACATTTTGTATGGTATTAAAAAAAGTTTCTCTTACATAAATTAATTAGATAGCAGCCGAATAATTAAAGGTTTACACACACGTGTGCGCGTATGTTTGCGCGAAACAGCTAGCAAAACCAATCTTGTACACATAGCTGTTATCTTCTTGTCAATGTTTGAATCATTTAAAAAATGGAAACTTCCTATTCAACTCTTGTGCCAAAGTCTACGTGTTATTGTCATGTTTATTATATATGAAATTATGGATAATCTGGCTTGGTTAAGGATAGTTAACTCAATAAACATATAGTAATTAATCAATGGTGTGCGCGTGATTTTCAAAACAATTAATTAATTAATGGTCGACCACTCTACATATATACATAAAGCTTTATTATATTGATAATCTTACCACCAAACTTTGATCTAACAAACACTTATCAATTCCTTATTTTATGCGACATGACATTTGACAAGCAAGGGTTTCCTCTATAATTTTTTGCATTATTTACGTTCGATTTATATATATATATATATATATATATATATATATATATATATATATATATATATATATATACTGTTTATTGAAGTTTTAAGTGATGAATTTAGTGGTTACTTTTACGTATGATCTCACACCAGACACTTTAGTTTCTACACCAGAAAAGATAGATTAACTATAAGACGCAAGAGATGACATATGACAACACTAAGTTTAGCACGAGACACGTTATTAATTAGTAGGACCTAACGTATGTTTTATTATTAAAAAAAAAACGTATATAGTAATATACAGTCAACAATTGTAATTTTCGTACATACTTCATTAATGAGGTAGGAAGAGCTTCATTAATTAAGATAATAATTACTTTAAGAGAATGATTTGATTTTGATAATGTTTTATTTACTTCTCAACCAAATCGTTAATGAAGTGAATGTTTTAAATATACGAAGAGAATATTGGATACGCTCAATTAATGCAAAACTATATGCACCGCATGTTAATCAACTGTGCATCATCCTAAAACATGGCTTCGAACAGTCAAATGTAGTCACGATAATGTCAGATACTGTAGTAGTCTAGGTTTTTTTAACCTAACAAATTGTATGAAATAAACTTTTTTTTTTCGGAATTCTCTATGAATTTTTTAATTATATCATATACCAATTTAAGAGGAGGTAGCAAAGGAGTGTTGTGGATTGTTTTTGGATAGAAAAGTGAAGATATGTGTTTAATCATAAATCATTAATTACATGACAGTTCCCAGAAAGTCTGAGAAAAACACTATTTGGTTGCATGCTGATGCTGCAAAGGCAATGATATCCTACGAACAAGATAAGCCTGTACGTTTCGCTCGTGAAGGTGAGCAAGAAGCTGTCTTTCAAGCGTGCATGGAAACTCTACATCTCTGCTCTTTAAGGACCTAACTTACCACTAGTTTCTCACTGAATATACTATACTTCCATTCACAATACTTCCCTTCTCAAAAACTTTTGTATTTTTATTTTTTTCTAAATTTTAACTTGTAACTGTGTGTGTGTTTTTTTTATAAAGAATTTTAACATTTTCTTAGTTTGATTTTGGCAAGATATATTTAGTGGATAATGTTAACTACTTAATATTAGTGACATTAATTGAATTAAAAAAGAAAAAAATAAATCTCATCAAAGAAACCTTCAAGGTAAATCAGAGTATCGTTCTATGGAATAATTAAAAATATACAAAGATTTGTAAAACAATAAACATTTTAATCTAAATTTATATATATGCTTAGCACAAAAAATGTATATAAATTAAAGTTTTATTAAATTATTTTAAAAACTTAAACAACTAAAAATTAGAAATGGGATTACGATATAAAAAAGTAATTCCGCACTAAAACTAAGTTTAGAAGCATTAGTGCAAGAAATAAAACAACACCAGCTTTTTGACCATGACATTACAATCTATATCTCCCATCCATTGAGGCTATGGTGAATAATTGTACTTTCATAAGTTCCATCATGGTCGTACCAGGACTTTTGAAATCCCCACATATTTTCGCTTTGTTGCAATTGGAGACATGATGATAGCAAAAAAAAGTCATGGATTCCTATCACAAACTCAATGCCTCAAATTATTTCTTCATGAATATTTCTCTGATACTTGATCACCAACACTGAAACAACACCATAAATGGGAACCTTCATTTTTTGAAACACAAATTCCCATGGGATAAGCATAAGCCTGAGACTACTCGATTGACATGTTTCTACTCCTCTGAGATCTCATCCATTGACCATTGAACATCCTTTCATTAATTCCTTTAGCCACCATCCAATGAAATGTGGGGCTAGAAAGAGTTCCTCCAAATTCAACCATGTGCATCCTCTATCAAGGTTTCTTCATACAAAATGTGAACAATTTCTTTTATTATTATTATTATTATATATATATATATATATATATATATATATATATATCATAAGAAACACTAATAATATAGTAAAAAATACTCTTTGAAATGTTATATTTTTTTATTAAATTGAGATATAATAACATTATAGTATATCAATATAAATAAATATAAATTTTTTATAAAATTAAATTAAATTAAATACATTTTATACTAATATAGTTTACTCAAATATTTATATAATTTCTAAAAAGAATATATAAGAAGGAGAGTTATCATCGTGGATATTCTAAGTAGTACATAAAGGCCTACTTAAATTTCATGACAAAAACAAGTAATGCATTAAATAGGTACCAACACTTGGATTTGATGAGGCACTTTGGGAATTAATGTCCAGAATAATTTCTAGGTATAAAATATAATTTATTTCTTCCGTTTCAAAACAATAATCTTTTATGAGTTGGCAAACAGATTTTAGAAGGAAAAAAATAAAACACTTAAACCTTTTCAATGGTTCATGTCTTTTTTTTTTTATGGCAAAACGGGCTAGGCGGGGGTGGGTTGGTGTTTTCAGCCCACCAGCCCACTTTGGTCCGCCCCGCTAAGCCCGCCAAACCGTCGGGCCAGCCAGCAGGACAGGCGAGTCAGCCCACGACCCGCCTAATTAATAAAAAAATAATTTTTTATTGTAATAAAATTAATTATAAAGATAATATATAAAGTTAAAAATTTTAAAAAGAGAATTAAAAAAGTTTCATTCTCACAGAAAATATTCTCCTTCCTGAAACATAACCTTCTCTCCTGTTTCCTAAACACTAATTATTTTTATCCTTATTACTTGAATTAAAGGTGTAAGAATTACTCAACCAAAAATAATATGAAGTTTTATGAAATAAAAAAGATATAGGTATTTGAATTTTTCAATATAAAAAATATAAATTTTATAAGTTTAACGGTATTTTTATATATATATATTTGTTATTATTTATTATTATGTAAATTTTATTATTGTTCTAAATTATAATTTCTTAAAGTAATGTATTGATTTATATTATTAAATTGAAATAATATATATATATATATATTGAATTATTGAAAAACAAATAATAATTTTATTATTAAATTTATTAAAAAAATTTATTTAAAAAAAATATTTTTTTAAATTATGGTGGCCAGCCGCCAAACTACTAACTCGCCCCTTGGCGGGGCGGGCTAAGATCTACAACTCGTCATGACTATATCGGGGTCAGCCGCCCCAGTTTTAGCGGGCCAAAGGTGGGGCGGGCAAAACGGGGTAGGCTGACCCGTTTTGCCATCCCTACTTTTTTTTGTTAATAACTAGTTTTTGGGAAAAATAAGTTTGCACTAACTCCTTTGTTGGAAGAATTATGGTAAGAAAAGAGGACTATTATTTTATAACTAAAAAAAAGAAAAAAAAAAACTAAAATGATTATAAATTTGAAACTGAGGGAGTTATATTTTACACAGAACATATGGCCTTGATAGATTTTTTTTAATGAATTCATATCTGTGTTCTTAGGTTGTAGTTTTAGACTAGGAAATGTGTTACCTATTTCTCAGCCTTTGAGGAAAAAATAAAAAAATAAAATCATACACAAGTGTGATCAATTACGTTATCCAAATCCTTCAATGTGGCTAGTTTGTTAGCTTATGAAAAGGAAAACAATTTGACATTGAGCAGCAAATTTAGAATATGCCGACATTGATAAAGAATGCATATTCTTTCTTTAAGCTTTAGTCAAAAGAATGTTTAAAAAGGAATGAAAATGATCAATGAAAGGGTACTTATATAAGCATGCAAATGTGAAAGATGCAATCAGAAACATTTTTGGATTTTGCATACAAATTTAGATGGAAATGCAAATAATTTAAGTAATGTTTTTCTTTAATTAATTTGGACGAAGATGAATGGAAAAGTCGGTGGTTGATGATGGGGTAGGGAGAAAGGTGGTGGAAAATGAGATAAGGTGAAAGTGCAGTGCACGAGAAAAAAAGGTGATGATTTGTTCCACAATAATGGGGAATGCCATGCCATGGAGGTGTAGCCATTATTATCATTATTAGTTTTTTGTTTCTTTACCTAAAGCCAACACTTCTTTGTTTACACGGATTTCCGCAGAAGAAGATCTTCCTCAAACACTAAAACATTGTTTTTTTTTTTTTTTTTTTTAATGTAGGATTATTAAGATTTTATATATAATTAATGTTGTTGGCGTTTTCTAACATATGAAAAATAAATGGTAAACTTTGATGTGCTAACCTTGTTGAATGTCAAATATCTATAATAATAATATTTTTCATGTTATTTTTAATAAATAATATTTTATATAACGATGCCATGTTTTTTTTTTTATAAACAAATATTTTACATAATATGTCTTCAGGTTATTTCATTGTTTTGTGTCTCAAATTGCATGTGTTAATTATATTTGGTCCATGTAATTGTATCTTGAGGAAAATTTGAAAATTTACTTCGTGGTAATTACTTGTGATAGTTGTTTTTTTGTTTTTTAAAACATTTACTAACTAACTAAAATGAACTTATGTATATGAGAAAAATATTTTCTTATGCTTAGTTCAATTTACATTAGTTTATGCAAGTTTTTTTAATATCGCATATAAAAAGTTCCACTAAAGCAATTTTGTTCTCTTATTACTTTAGCCGTTTAATATTCTACACATACAGATAAATTGAAGTCGTTCGTATATATTTATAAGTTTTATATAATTTAAGAACAATTTTTACAAATATTTAATTTTTTAAATTAATTTATATTTTTTTAGATAAAAATTATAATAAATTAAAATTTAAAAATGAATAATATAACGTATTTTACCGTATTATCATAACAATATACGATATATTTTTATTTCTAAATGAAACAATAATAACTATATGTTGAATTTATAATAAATTTTTGTTTTTTTTTACGTCTCATTCTCTAATTAATATACTTATAAATTTTATATAATTTTAAAAATAAATTCAAAAATAATCTATAAACATCTTATTTTCTAGAGATCCTAAAAGACATTATAAAAATTAAAGTGTATTTATAAGTGAAGAATACTTTAATTGTAATAATAATTTTATTAATATTATTAGACGAAAGATTTTTTAATTATTTTTTTATTTTTACAACAAATCAAAATGGTAAAAAGGTTACTGATGACAAAAACAAAACAAAATGTACAAAACTTATCGTATACCAAAGCAAAATAATAAGATGGACTCATGGTAGGGTAAAAAAAAAACTTATAAAATTTTAAATGTGAATTTTCTTAAAAAAAACAGTACTTAATCCTAAATTTATTAATTTTTATATTTTAATTACTTAAAATTCATGTTCTAAATTATTTTTGTATTTAAATGTTATAAAATTGGGATATTTATGACTACATTCACTTCAATTTTTCTTTATTAGAAAAATTACGTAAACAAAATAGAAAAATGAAATACGATTTGGTTTAACTCAATATTATTGTAACATAAAATTCAAATAAAATAAAACGAATGTTCTGCAATTCGTTTTGCATTAATTTTATTATTATAAAACTAATATTTAAAAAATATTAAACATTTTATAATAATTTTTATACAATTATTACATTATACAATATCATAAAAAACACAATGTAAATTTTTTATGAATTAGGATAAATATAAATATATTTTTGAATAAATTAAATTTTAAAATTTTTTAAGAGTCACGTTAATATATATTTATTAATTTCTAAAATTTATAATATTATATATAAATATAATAAATGATTTAATTAATTATTTATTTATTTTGAAAAAAAATCTGAACTAAACATTTGATTGAGAAAATAATAGACAAAATAAAGTTAAAAATGAATTTTGATTATTTGTTAAAATCAGTTTTTGATTTTTTTTTCGTTTGACTGAGTTTTAAATATCCTATAAAATTAATATACATGATAAGTGCCGAAATATTCATTAAATGAAAGAAAGGAAGATAAAGATAATATCAATGAAGTGGAAGCAGCAGCAGCAACCGCAATGCATATGGGCTGGGTTGTTTGCATGGGCTTAATTCAAGTTATGGGCTGTATCTGGAGCACTCATGGCCCAAAAAGAGCCCAGACGAAACTGAAGATTGGAAAAGACGAAAAGAAGAGAAGGCACATCACAAGGTTAAGAGTGAAGGGAGAGAGTGAAAGAGATCACTGTATTGCTTCTGCTTACAAGGTAAACAAGCGCTCTTCCCTTTCCTCTATCTTATTCTTATTCATTTCATTTCTGATATCTTCGAACAATTGAGATATTATTATTCCTCCACCCTTTGCCTTTTGCATTTCCCCTTCAGATCTCGTTCTATCTTCTTCCCGATCTTCTTCTCTCATACTATCACCGCTACCATTTTCTCTCCTTACCTCAATTACGTTTTCTTTTTCTATATATTGCCTAACTTTCTTTTAGTTTATTTGTTCATGTGTATTGTGAAATGCTTGATAATTTAGGGTTTTGACTTGGCACGCAGAGCCCTATTTTATTAATTTAATTGATGTTCTTCTCTGATATCAATGAATAGCTCCATCTTAATCCTTTAGTTACTCATAAAATATCACCTGCGAATCTAATTGCCCCTAATTTAGAAATAGAAATGAATGAGGTAGCAGCTATTACTGACGAAAGCCTTATGTGTTCTAGATATTACTTTAAGATCATGCCTTTAGCTTTTAATTTTCTTTGTATTCTGACTATTTTCAATGTGAGTAAAAGAGTTTGTGATAGTTTGGATAAACTTTCCCATAAACACTTTCCGATCAGCTTATGTATGAGTTAAATTTATCATTTATACAATTTGCTAAAGCTAATTTTTGCTCATCAGAAATTCATTTCAATTTTCCATCGTATTGTTTTTTCCTAGGAGTTCTATTATTCAAAGTAGGTGCTTAAAATAATTATTACGGATTGGGATGCTGTATATTACTGACCTTGTGCCTTATTCTAATATGGTCTTTTCCCTTTGGTCTAGGGTTTTGTTCTACCTAACTGAGACTTGATGGCGTCAAAGTTGCACCAGTTGCTGTCCAAAGCATGTCAAGCATCTCAATTCGTAGCCAAACATGGAACTAACTACTACAGGCAATTGCTGGAACAAAACAAGCAATATATTCAGGAGCCTCCTACAGTAGAGAAATGCAACCTGCTGGCTAAGCAATTGTTCTACACCCGCCTTGCCAGGTTATATTTTCTCCAACTTCCTTCCACCAAATAATGTGTATGGCTGGATTCATTCTATGAAGTTCTCTAATTGTATATGCTTGTTGGCCAACTTTTCTTGATTTCAAATAGTTTTTTGACGCACTTTAATACACAGGGATGTTTCCAGTAATGTCTAATGGCTTCTTCCTTCTCTTTATGGGCTAGGGAAGACGTCCTGAATGATTTGGTTGCAAGGCTTTAACCTACTTTGTTCTGCTGTGTCATGTTGATTTGCCCCTCTTTTGACAGAGTTACTTAAAGATTGACTGAGATATAAGCTCTCAGTCATCATTCTCCTAAATTACAACAAATTTGTTGTTAGTGATCCATGCTTGGGATATCAACCATTTTTATGTTGATTGCCGAGAGCACATCTCCTTTATCTGAATTTGGGACTGTCTGTGAGACCATAGTTGGAGTTAATGTCTCAAAGCAGTACATGGGAATGGGTCCACTTTCGTGTTCTTGATCATGGGAGATGTTGTGGAATGGGAGTTTGTTTTCCTTGTGCTGGTAATGGGCTAAGAGAGATTCTCAGGCATATTTATCATAAACAGCTATCTGATTTGGCTCCTGTGGTCTTATGGGTTCTGGCTATAATTCTAAGCAAATAGGGCTATAATTGACTATGGGCATGCATGGTATAGAATATTAGATTAAGTTTATGAAATAATTGCTTTTTTTCCCTGAATCTCTCTCTTAAAGCTGGCAAAAAATAGTGATTGTTCTTCCAAAATAGGCTGAGCCAAACATACACCAAGTCAGCTAGCCCATTATCAAGACTTAGGTTGGGTAAGTTCCCACCTGGTATGTGGCATGAAAGGTTGATTGTAATCAGAGACATAAGTCAGTTGGGGAGGGCAATACTGACATTTGAAAAATGAAGTGGACACTTAGATGTTGTAAGGTAAGGTTAGTGGTTGCTAGTTACTAAAATTTAGCAGGGGAATGTAATTAACATTAATTCTTTCTTCGCACTGAAGTTTTAGTTTGATTCAGCCAACGAATCTGTTTAGGCCGTAGACTCTAGAATCAGGATTGGATGGCGAGGGAGTCAATGGACAGAATTCAACTGTAATCAGATTTCTGTATGATGTTGGAATGAAACGCCAGAAATATATTCTTTTCGGACTTTAGTGAATATTGTTCTGAATGCTTTAGAAGTACAAACTATAATCCTGGATGACTGGAGAACCAACTGGACTCAAATCTTAATATTTAAGATACCAAGTTATTAACTGTTGTTGACTGGCTTTTGAACTGCCTATAATTAACTGAGCCCCTATTATAAAGTTAGATTTTCACATGTTCCATTTTTCTTACCTAATACCTACAATAACTGCTTACACAGGTTTCCTGACCCTTCACTGGGACCTGAAACTAACACGCATTGTAAAATACTGCCTAGTACAGACCACTGTTTTTTTCCCCTCATTTTGGTGACGTTTGTACCAAGTTTGTATTGATGACATTTTGTTGACTTACAAATGTGTTTGGATGGGATGATTTAGGAAGGAATTGAGTGGGAGTGAAATGGGACATGGGATTAGAATCGCACTAATCATACTATTTGAATCGTGATTTGTTTCAAAAATCAAACTTTACGATACAATTTATTGAATGTATAATTTATTGAATGTATCATTCTATACTTTGAATCGAAGCTTGAATTGGATGAATCGAACATGAATCGTGGAATTCACCATTCAACTCCTTTGCTTACTATTCTAGCAAAAACTCTGCGGTGAGGAGAAGAAAAAGAAGGGGAGAGTGAATAGTGTAGAAGGGGTGCTTGGTGACATTTTTTTTCCTATCTAATATTAATTTCCTTTTTTCTTATTTGCATTGATACTGCAAGCTTTTTTAATTGAAATTGTACCATCAGACCACCTTTTTTTTTTTTTTACTTTATCATTCAATTTTTTAATTTTAATTTTATTTTTTATAATCATCCCTTTTTTGTTTACAATTTAAATTAGTATATAGTTACTTATTATTATTATTTTCTATATGAAATTAGTTGTTATTTTATTATTTTTTAGAACCAGTTTGATGTTTTTTAATATTTTTTATCGCTTATTTTTATTTAAAAATATCATTTTATTTGTCATGAACTATTAAAAAAATTATAAAAATGATTCGCTATTCGATAACCATGAAATGGGAAATAGATAAATGATTTTAGTTGTTTGGATGGAGTGAAATTGGTAGAAAAATTGCTTATATATTTGTGGAACTCACTTGAAGGCATTTCCTTCCTGCTTTGTCATGAAATGAGGTGGACTCTTTCTTCCAACCAACATTTCCATATATTGTGTGGTTAAATATGATAGTGCCAAGTTAGATCACTGTTTTGTACATCTTTTTGACAGTTGCACTCGAGTTTGTATTAAATTTAGTTGTGACCTGACAATAAATTCCTTGTGTAACTTTGGGATTTTAAATAGATGTGGAATATTGTTGATGGAATTTTAATATAATTTTTTCCATAATTCATCATAGCATTTTCTACTGTATGCCTTGAATTTAGCAGCTCATAATGTTCTTGTCATTATGAGTACCTCTAGTTTGAAGTCTAGAACTTCTTCAATTTCTGCCCACATCAATGTCTCAACAACTTGTTGCGTGTAGTTTTTATGCTGAAGCCCACTTCCGTTAGGTACTATTGATCCAATGCTGCCTCTCTGACTATGTCATCTATTTGTGAATGTCAATGCTTATGTGACTCTTCAATATGGTTTTCTAATCAGGCATGTGTTTCAAATTATGTTAGTTTTCACCACGATCTTAGTGAATTAGCAAAACAATGATATAATGAACTCGGAACACATGTTCTGCATATTGGGTGCCCTTGCTGCTACATATAACTCTTTAAATCTTTTGCAGTATTCCGGGTCGTACAGAGTCCTTCTGGAAGGAACTTGATTATGCCAAGAATCTATGGAAGAACAGGAAAGAATTGAAGGTGGAAGATGCAGGTATTGCTGCTTTGTTTGGCCTGGAATGCTTTGCATGGTATTGCGCTGGTGAGATTGTTGGAAGGGGATTTACCTTCACCGGTTACTATGTCTGACAATAACCACTTGAAAGTGTAGATTTTATCAGAGCCATATACTCCCAAAGCCAATTGCTCTGGTCATTTATAAAATGTGTGGATTATATGACATTCTTCAAGGCAATTTTGTTATTCTGATTTATTTCGTTTTTGGGAAAAAGGTTGAAAAACTAGTGATTAACTTCCATGAGCTTCAATAACCCCTTGTAGTTGAAAGCGGGACGAAACATGCGTTGTTCTCTTGTACTGTTGGAAAGCTAGTGATGTTATTCCACAACCATGAATTGATGATACTCCTGCAATTTTTTTTTTAAATGTTTTCTTTTTCTTTTTTGAAAAGTTATATGTCCGTTTGTACCCAAAACTATTAAAACCAGAGTAAAAGGTTATGCCCGACAATTGATATCTTTTCTCTTTCAAGATATTTTAAACCACAATTTTGATTATCAATGGGTATTCTTCAAAATTGAAGGCATATTTTGGACGAATAGTGTTATTTGTTTTGCCAATATATGTTAGGAATACTGCTAGGTACTTTTTATTGGTTGATATATACTGAATTATAATTTTGTTGTAATAGGTTCTAATTAATAGAAGAGTTTGTTTATATAATATTAAAAAGCTTATTGCTAGTACAATAACAATTTTTTGCATTTTTTTTTTAATAAACTTGATCATTAACAAACTAACCCGGTGATGAGATGGAAAAAATTAGAGTAGAACTACTCCATTTTAGAGTTATAGTTGCTAATTTACTCTGTCCAGGACATTACGAACTAAACAAGTAGATTAGTTTTGCACGGTTCGATCTTTATGGCTAGAATTGGTATAATGTCTGGTTTCAGAAGTACAGATACAACAGCGTTATGAAGTTAGTTTCAATGAGTCGTAATAATAGTGAGAGCAGTATTTTTAACATTTTATAATATGTTCATTATCGGTTAAAATTGTTTTTAAGATTTATTAAAAAAGACGAGAGACTTATTTTTCATAATTTTTAATAAATTTTAGTTAATAATAAGAAATGTTTAAAAGAATGTATAAGGAGATATGTTACTTTTTTATATATATATTTATGTCTTAAACACTGTAAGAAAAGGTTAGATGGGTGAGAAAATTTATTGGGTCTAATGTAGTTAAAAAAAATTAATGGAAAATAAATTAAGATCACTGTGTCCGCAATTTAAGTTGGAAGAAAAAATGTTATAAAATTGTGAATGGTTGGGAGATGTTTTCCTAAAAAAATGAAGTTTACGATAACCAATTGAGGAATTTTGTTTGACAATAGATACTCTTTCATGGTGGTTAAATGTTACAAGAAATGTTTAGAGATGAATTGTAAGATGATTGGTTAACACCAACTGTAAGAGGTTAATATATGAAAATTGGGAGTGAAATTGAGGTAATATTACAATATTCGTAGTTGGGTGGTGAAATTAGCTATCCAATTGAGGCCATCCTGACATGTTTTAGCTCTGTGTGACTCTGATAAATTACAATGCAATTTAATCTAATGCTCACACTTGTCAAACTTCATTCATATAAAATTATATAAAGTGTGATCTTATTTACAATTTTACAATTGTTACAAAACAATTCACTCCCCAAACATATTATCTTTACTTAATTATTTTTTTTTCTAAATATTTAAAAATATTTGTAGAAAATTTTGTCTATACATTATACATTGATAAAAATTCTGAGTTTGATGGACTAGTTTGTTATAAATATTGACGAGAATATAAAGCGGTCTGTCTCATATCTTGTCTTTACAATAGCTCTTGCATCTTTCTTCTTAAGTTTCTTTCCATTGGACTTGGGCAAATTTCCAATTTAACTGTGAAATAAAATTTAGTTTGGACAATCCAAGAGCCGGTTCAGACGTAGAAACAAACAAGTGTTTCTCCTTCGTTTCAGTTTCTTGCTGTAGAAGCTATGTTCCATCATTTCAAGTCCTCAAAGTGGTTTGTGGTTAATTGAAGTGATTGTGTAGTGAGTAGTGTTTGGTTTTTGAAGAAGAGCATTTTGGTTATTTGAGTTTGATTTGTGATGATGCAGCAAAACCGCATTGAAGCTTGCTGTTTCACGGATACGGCTTTTGAAGAACACGAATGAAGGGCGTGTGAAGCAGCTTCGGAGAGAATTGGCCCACTTGCTTCAATCTGGCCACAACCATGCTGCAAGAGTCCGGGTAACTATCTTCTTCTATATTCATTTTTTATTTTTATTCTTAAAACCATTTTTTTCTTATTTTCTTACCTTATGCATTTTTCTATTTTACCATTTTTATTGTAATTTATCCGGTTTCTAATGTTAAAAATTTTCATTTCTGTTGCTCAGAAATTTAAATTTTGGTGTTGTTGATTCACAAAGTGTTTTTTTTTTTTAGGAGTCCAATTGATTCATTTATTTACATCTTTTATTTATTTACGAAGAGTATATTATCGATTATGATTTAATTTTTCTAAAATATAATTAAAGTGCAGTTTATTAATACATTTCTTTTAATTGTACTATGATAAGAATTAAAAAAAAAACTTAATAAAACGGCATAAACACTAAAATAAATGAATTTTCATACAGTTAGACCCACATATTTTTAGAAAGAGTTAACTTTCGCTAGTAAAAAAGAGAGGAAACAATGTATGACAAACAAATAAACTAAGGTTATTATTGTATATACATCTTTTCTTTTCTTTTATCTTTCATTCACTTCTCCTGTTTTGCTTTCAGGTTGAACATGTGGTCATGGAAGAGAAGAGAATGGGAGCATACAATCTTATTGAGATATACTGTGAACTCATTGCAGCTCATATGCCCATGATTAAATCACAAAAGTATGTAAAATTCACCAAAGTAACTATTTTTTCCACATAAATAACTTTTGAACATGTTTTGATATGCCTACCATATGTATTTTTGGGATCCTTTCTACTAATAGGGGTTAGGTTAAAGTGATTTATTCTGATTTATATCTTGCAATACTCATTGAATTTGTCCATATAAATTATAATACCAGAAATGAGGTTTAACTTACCCCAGCAAAATGATCGGTAAAATTATTACTTTTCATCATTGTGATCGTGCATTGTCACTATGTTGATCCTTCCTTCCATCGTTCTTTTCTTTCTCCTCTAGAGAGTGCCCCATCAATTTGAAGGAAGCAATTTCAAGTGTAATATTTGCATCCCCAAGATGTTCAGATATACCTGAGCTTGTGGAGGTGAGGAAGCGTATTACGGCTAAGTATGGAAGAGAGTTTGTCTCAGCGGCTGTTGAATTACGCCCTGGCTGTGGCGTAAATCGTTTGGCAAGTATCTCTTCCTCTTTGTTATCATGTTAAAAATTATTCATTGTCATTTTTCTTTTCTAATTTAGTATTGTATTTTCAGTTGGTTGAGAAATTGTCTACCATAGCACCCGATGGTCCAACCAAAATCAAAATACTGATTGAAATTGCTGAGGAATATAATATCAGATGGCAACCGTCTTTAGAAGAAAATGCTGAAAAATTGTCTCGTGATTTGCTGGTTGGGTTTGTTCATTATGAGTTAGTTTAATGGTTTTGTATTTTCTATGTAAAAACTTTTATTTTGTTGAGTAATTGAAAAATGATTTTTATGTGAATAATCATAGATAATGATTTTATGACCTTATGAATTACAAGTTTTGAAGTGATCAATATGTTTGACCATGTTAATTTGCCAATATTTATACTGTAAGGTTGGACCAAATACTTTTGAGAAGAGTACATACGTGGAACCTCCACAACTTCATGTTCCACCTGTTGATGATGAAAGAGGAACCCCAAGTTTACGATCTTCTTGTCAACTTAAAGAAATGCGAGATAAGTCTAAAAGTTTTTATGAGAAGCATGGAAAATTAAATCCTTCAGGTAACTTGTTTTAATCACTTCATATGAGAAATATAGTAAGATGGTGATTGTATTGGTGAATATTCTTGGTTCTTTAATTTGTTACAGGTACTAGAAATCAAGAAATGGATTTTGGAAACTTGTACCCTGAAAACATGAGTGCTTTTCAAAAGGGTAGACAGAATTGGGAAATGGAATTCAAGGATGCTGCAACTGCTGCACAGGCAGCTGCAGAATCTGCAGAACGTGCAAGCGTGGCTGCAAGAGCGGCTGCTGAACTTTCTAACCGTGAAAAGTTAACAAGGCAGGGTTCAAAGAGTTCTTCTAGAGGAGGGTTAAGAGCTGAATTATCCCAAGAATATGCTTTTCATGCTGCCAAATATCTTTCTGCTGGTTATGTTAATAGCACATTCCGAAGAAGCAGTTTTGAGATACACCATGAACAAACTAATCCAAGAGAACAACATTTCCTGGTAGGAACACACAATGAACATTACATAGCAAACAAGAAATCAAGCACAAGTGGCTCAAGTGCATACTTATATTCTGATAGTAGTGATTCTGAGGTTGGAGATCCTAAACAAAATTCAGTTACTCTTGCACATCCTACCAGTGATTTGTCTAGAAGGATGTTAGCTCCTTCAAAAACTGGAACATGTTTAAGTCTGGAGGATGACCCTTTGTCCAAGGCTTCTAAGAGTTCTTGTTCTGGAGCTGGAGGGAAGTCTTCAAGGGTTTCTTATGAGAGTAAAGATCAGAAGGTCTCATTCAAGGATAATTGGGGAAGTGATGAGCATGGATCAGCAGAACATGCAGCTTGTAAGCCAAGTTCAGAACCTAAAATTGAGGAACCTTCTAGTTCTCTTACTAAAACAATGATACCAGATGAAGAAGAGGCTTCAAAATCTTTAAATTGTAATGAGGATGATCCCTCAAAGGAGAGGGCGAATCATGTTCATCCAAAGCTACCTGATTATGATACATTCGCTGTCCAACTTCTGTCTCGTAAGAAGGGTCGCCAATAAATTTTCATGTGCTTGCTTTCTTACAACAAATTTTCATGTACTTGCTTGTAACAACATAGCTCCCTTTGCTGAAATTGTGGAGAAAAACAATGAGTGGTGTTAAATGTTATTTACACATGATGGTTTTAAGTTGTGGTGATTGTAAAGGCTTCAGAAAAGCATATACTCTTTTTTATTGATTTTTCATCTTTTTTAACTAAATGACTTGGATAATTTCGAATAATATTTGAAAAGTTTGTCTTAAGTTTTTTGAATCGTCATATTTTTTTTTTCGTGTTATGAGTGGAATTGAAGTACATATTTCATTTATTCTTTGAAGAGAGCCTAAATTTCTATGAATTGGTAGAATTCTCTCTTGATGAATTAAACTTAGAAATTATGTTTTTTTCTTGATGATAGTGCCGCAATAAAATCAACATAGAGATTTAACCATGCATCTGAATTATAAACTATAGTATAGAGGAAATATTTATTTCGATTTCTATCATAAATTATTATTATTATTATTAATGATTCAGAATGTTTGGCCATGAATAATTTAGTTTTTGTGGGGTCATTTTAGTTTGTATTCTAACCTTATTCCCGTCTTACCTAGTTTTGAATGAAAAATTGTGGTTCCTGATTACATAATTTTTAATTAATTATCACATATTACATATTATACATATGATAAAGTGTTATTATTTTTTTTATAATTGAAAACTCAAAAACATATTATTATGGAGAAATTAGTTGGAATAATGTATTCCAAAATTATTAAAAACTCTATTAATTTTTAGTCTACGTAGCCAAATTATTAAAATCACGTGTATTCCAAAATTTCTTTGATGAAGAACATGAAAAGATGGTGATCAAGACCTAAACGCATTACGAAACACTAGGAACTGATGAAGCATTCTTTGCCTGAAAGATTCTAAAGAAGCAATTCGTATAAACTAAATAACTTATCTACATTCCTACTGTTATTAATAGAGACTAATGAAGAACGGTGAATGGCCCAAAATTATCTAGTTTCCTTTCTTACTATCTTCCTTGAACATCCTTGAAATTCAGGTATGTCCCTTTTCAACCCTTTCTTATGCATATGCCACCACAATGTTTCTCATGCTTAACTCAAGTTCTAGGGATTTATAACTATGATTTATAAAACAAAGATTTCCATCTATATGAATTTTTTGTGAAAACCATGTTCTTCAATCACAATATGATGAAAATTGGCAACAATCATAGGGCTGTAACAATTCACAACGTGAAATTTTGGTATTGAATACCTAGTATAATCATAACATGTAGTTTTAATGATTTCAAGACTAGGTTACTGAGAAATGGAGAATATATCAAAGTCAACAGTGTTCCCCAATACAGTTATATTGCAGAGTGAGGGATTGCTAAAGGTAAAATCAAACATTTATTGGAATTTTCATTTGGCTTCATACTACAGTAACATGGATTCTTAGGTTCATTTTTCTTGTTTAACCCAATGATGCATCAATAACGTGGCAGTATATATTGGAGACTGGCGTTTATCCACGAGAAGCAGAGACCCTCAAAGAGCTAAGAAATGCAACTGCAAAGCACCCTCTGTAATTATTCTTTTATATATATATATATATATATATATATATATATATATATATATATATATATATATATATATATATATAATGATTTTAGTCAAAAATATTTTTGTACATGGACGATATATATGTATACAAGAATTTCTCAAACAAAAGTAAGGCATTGCTACTTCATATTCTTTCATTAAATTTGACTCTAGAGCAGAGACATTTGGAAACTTTTTTGTATGTAATGTTTTTCCATTCTGAAGGGGCTTCATGGGAGCTGCACCTGATGCGGGTCAGCTAATGGCCTTGCTCTTGAAGTTGTTGAATGCTAAAAAGACAATCGAAGTGGGAGTTTTTACTGGATACTCTCTTCTCCTCACAGCACTCACCATTCCAGATGATGGAAAGGTTTTATATATATATATATACTATATACTCCTTGTTATATGGCATATGTATTATGTTATTAACTCCATATTTGTCATGTGGCTGCTACTGTAGATAGTAGCCATGGATCCAGACAGAAAAGCTTATGAGATAGGACTACCATTCATTAAAAAGGCTGGTGTTGAACACAAGATTGACTTCATAGAGTCTCCAGCTTTACCAGTTCTTGATAAACTCTTAGAAGATGTAAGCTATGTTTATGCATCACACACACGCACACACACTCAAGGATTATGACATAAAAAGCATCACTTAAGGCAATAGAAAAGTAAGTTCTTAAACAATAAGAAATATGTTTTGGTGCAGGCTGCAAATGAGGGGAGTTTTGACTTTGCATTCATTGATGCTGACAAAAACAATTACTGGAATTACCACGAGAGGCTTATGAGATTGGTGAAGATTGGTGGGATAGTTGCTTATGATAACACACTGTGGGGAGGAACTGTTGCCTTGCCTGAAAAGGCAGTTTCGGAAGCCAAACGAGAGTGGAGATTATTATCACTTGCTTTCAACGAAGCAATTTCAAACGATTGTCGTGTTGAAATTGCTTTTGTTTCAATTGGTGATGGAGTCATTATCTGCAGGCGTCTTAGCTGATTCTCATCTCAACACTGTCATATAAACCATTATTTAAAGAAGTTCTCATCTCAATTTCTGTCATACAAGCCATGTCGGTCACAAGTAATATTCAACTAACAGTGATGTAATTTGTGATGTAATGATGTAATATTATTGATAGAATTCACTTAAAACCTAAGTGATAGGATGTTTTAAGTGAAAGAAAAAAAAAGAAAGAATTGAGATTATGACCCCTAGAAAGCTTTTAATTGCATAGATATACAGAGTCTGAAAATCATTTTCCCTCACGAGAAACGTAACGGTGGCCTTTGTTTGCTGTACAATGTTGCCAGGATTCGCTAAATCCTTACGAGTGACGGAGGACACAAAAAGACCTACTTCAACAACAAAGATGATAGAAGAAACAACTATCACAAACATACAAATAAGAGGAAATTTACCTTTTTTAGCAAGTTTAATTATTTAACAACAACTCAAAAATAATACTTCATAAATGCCAGTGACAACTCCTTCAAAGTACTCACAGAAAAGGACAAACATCACCGTATTGTAGTTCTACAAGATACAACTAACGCAAACCCCCAGTAGTAGAAAATGAAGGAACGGGGGTTGCATCCCACTTCATTCTTCTTTTAAAATGGCCGAAGCAGGAGAAGCATTGTAAGTCCAAGAGAAAGAAAAGAGAATTCAGAGAAACAAAGCATAGAAATGTCCTCTAATCCAGTAATACTGCAGGGTGAGAAGTTGACCAAGGTAGGTTTGTCGTTCAAACATTATTTTGGCATTTTTTTTTCCTTGGATTCAATTTCATAAATTGTTCAATCCAACAATGTTGTGGCAGTATATACTGGAGACCAGCGTTTATCCACGAGAAGCAGAGATTCTCAAAGAGCTAAGGAATGTCACTGATACTCACCCTTGGTAATTAATTATTCTTTCTGCTACAATTCTAGCATAAGTAACATTATTAAAAAGACAAAATCTGTTTTTATATTATAACTATCATAAAGGTCTTCGATGTTGAAACTCTACAGTTTGGTACCAGATTTGGTTACAATTATAACCTATTTAGTTTGACATTGCATCTTGGAGATGTGCTTCTCCTGATGTATCTTATTTTGATCTTCTACATCGTTTTAATGAATATGTTTTATAAGTGTCTTTGCTCAATTTTGAATTTCAACATTCTCTCCAAGGATCTTACCTTCAAATCAAACGGATTAGTTAATTACTGACACCATCTCTTACTCAACTTTTCTATCTCTACTCAACTTGGATTTCATCTCAAACTTGAATTTCTAATAATTTCATACATTTGACTACCATATCTAACATAAGGAAACTGTTTATGTAATACCATTATCATTTACCAGGGGCTTTATGGGCGCTGCTCCCGATGCGGGTCAGCTAATGGCCTTGCTCTTGAAGGTGTTGAATGCTAAAAAGACAATTGAAGTGGGAGTTTTTACAGGATACTCTCTTCTCCTAACTGCACTCACCATTCCAGATGATGGAAAGGTTTGCCCTTTTTTTTGTTATTTGGTATATTTAATATGCCCGTTTTATGTTACCAACTCCATTGTCTGTGTGGTGTAGATAATAGCCCTGGATCCAGATAGAGAAGCTTATGAGATAGGACTACCATTCATTAAGAAGGCTGGTGTAGAGTACAAGATCGACTTCATACAGTCTCAAGCTTTACCTGTTCTTGATAAACTCTTGGAAGACGTGAGCATGATTCTGTTACTTACATGTTACTGACATAACAACTTCACATTACGAGACAGAAAATTCTATGATAACTTGAAACCATAGTTGTTTGTAAAGTCTGGTGATTTTGTTTTTTGTTTCTTTTCTCCCTTATGACTTGTACGTAAGAGGATCTAACTCCCTTTATTTTATAGTTACTTCTTGTTTGATGTTTCAAGTGCTTCTGTTGTTCTGTTGCAGGATTCAAATAAGGGAAGTTTTGACTTTGCCTTCGTTGATGCTGATAAAGATAACTATTGGAATTACCACGAGCGGCTTCTTAAACTGGTGAAGATTGGTGGGTTAATAATCTATGATAACACTCTCTGGGGTGGAACTGTTGCCTGGCCTGAAGAGGATGTTCCACTACCCAAAAGAAAATACAGGCAGGCTGCTCTAGCTTTCAACAAAGCAATTGCAGATGATTCTCGTGTTCAAATTTCGGCTGTTTCAATTGGTGATGGTTTCACTATCTGTCGGCGTATTAATTGAACATCATTTCCCAATGTTATGTAATATGGTTCAAGTTAATTTAGTGTACTACGTTTTTGTTTTTATTCTTTGTGAGGGAGGTTAAAAATGATTTGCCTCAAACTGTGGGGGACCTATGATGTGACCGTAACGTGAATCAGGGAGTGTTGCTATTTACTATTAATAAATAAAATAAAATGTGTGATTTTTGTCTAAAAAATAACGTTTTGCATTGTTTCAATCAATGACATGCTGCTACAGATGTTTGGTATAGCATAAATAAGGTGAATACCTAAATTAGTCTAAAAACAACATCGAGGACACTTCAATTTTTAAGATTATAAAATGGAACACGTTAATCATTATATTCAATAGAAAAAGTAGCCAAAAATATCTCCCAATTATAATTTTAAACACTATATGGCGACTTTTTTCAGATATTAGATTGAGTTGTGCAAAGCTCCACTGCATAGCCAACCAAAACTTGCTATTTTGGTAGATAATTGATTAATAATGTAATCGCGAGGATAGAAGAAATTTACAACTACAACCCAAAGATAACGCACAACTTGAACGGGTACAATTGAAATTTTACACAATTTACAAATCACAAAGCATGAAGTAATAAGAAAACTAGGCATAAGTGGTAGTAGATTCCTTCTTAAGGTGAACAGACATACATCATAAATGTTTCTGTACACGTCTAAAAATAACATATCAACAATTTTTCTTTCTTTTTGCAATTTCTTATTTTACTAATAAATGTGGATGAATGGCAGGTGCTGATATTCACTGCTTTCTTCTTCCATGAAATACCAAAACACGGTAATACTTAGAAATCAGGATCTGAATTTTTCACTAGCAGAGATATTTCTTATTTCACCCTAAATTTGATGGCAAATACAGCTGTACACGTCTATTTCAACATGGGAAGTTTAGTTACAAGAGCTGAAAAATCTTGCAAAATAATTGGGCTTGAATGGTTAGGTATATCAGAAATGAATGCTGTGCAACAGGGTTGACGAATAATTTAAAAGTTGACATCCTCAGAAGAAATATCTTCTTATCCAAAACTGCAATTCTTGAGAAAAAGGAAACTGCTGTGTAGAATGATTGAATTAACCCTGGACTACATAAACATGGAACTTGAAGTAGATAAAAAACTAGGGGGCATAATATTCATTCATGTCTAATATACCATTTAACAAAAACAGGACTAATTTCCACAAAGCGTCAAATCCAATCCATCATACTCATCATGCATGAGCTCCTATGTTATAACGTTCATACTGAAAAAAATTTCTTTGAATGTTTATCTGGAAACATAGCTGAACGTAATACACTGCTAAAATAGTATGGCAACAATCATTTTAGTGAAAGTAACCGAGAACCTGGCCACCAACATTCTTCTTAATGGCTTCTTCATGATCCAAAACACCATCAGGAGTTGTAATCACAACATAACCCCACTGCACACAGAGAAAGAGAGGCACAATTATCCTTTTCCTTTGATTTACATTCTCATTTTGTTCTTAAAACACAAATTATAACAACGACCATCAGAAAACAGCAGTCAAAAGCATTCCTACATCATGAAAACGAATCATTTGCATAAACCAACCTGATGAGTTGGAAGAATCTGCAATCTGTAGGCTTCAACATCCCTTGCCTTGATATCTTTTCGGTGTGTAAGGGCCTTGCAATCGTTAATCCTACCTTGTAGTTCAACCGTTATCCTCCCCACCCTATGCGGATCATAGACTTGAAAGTCTTTGATATAACCTATAAGGAATTTAAGCCAAATTACATGGCACTTTGTAGTAGTTAGTAATTATCACAATGTTAGAGAATTTTATTTAGGTTCATGACCCTTCATTTTCATCCAACTAAGCAAGAAGATATTTCACACACAAAGTCATGCTCAGACTCAGACATGTTCTCTCAAATGGAAAAATAACAATAACAGTAATCAAATCAACAACGAAAGTTCTTCAAACTCCAAACACAGAAATAGAGAGAGGATAAATAATGAGATAACTTTCAGAGACTGACTTCACTGTTTACAAAGACGATTCATATCATTTCGTTATTACCCAGATTTGAAATTCTCAGGCAGGTGAAAGGGGTTTCAAATTTTAGAAAAAATAATCGAAATTATAAAAATAGTGGCAGAATCACTGGACGAAAAAATACCATGATGTTTCATGATACGGAGAAATGAAGACATAACAGTGGAAATTGGTTTGAGTTCCACCTTAGCTTTCCCTCTCCTCTCTGCGTTCACCATACTCCTCAACGCATCATTCAGTATCCTCCTCCCCATCTCTCTCAATTCTCAAACCCCTCTTTCTCTCCGTAGGGTTTTCGAATTATATTAGATTTTAACGCAAGGGCATATTCGACATTTTGCTTTAGTCAAACTAAATAAATAGTCAAAATTCCACGGTCACACGCAAAACAGAACGCAAACACACACTATTATCTCTCTATTTCTATGTTGAATGCAATTTGGCAATTCGATTGCCAATGATGGAGGAGCTTCCGGCGTCCCTGTTGGTGGAAATTGTGAGTCGTTTAACGTACACGACGGATGTTGCGCGGTGCAGGGCGGTGTCGAAGGGCCTAAACTCGGCGTCGTACGAGGTGCGGTGGTTGAACGTGGTGTGTTCCATGTCGCGCTACCTCAAGTCCCGTTCGCCGGAGACCAAACACCTAGTCACCCCGTTCAAGGACGTCTTCACTGACCTCGTTCGCCGCTCGACTTCCACCCTCGACTCCGTCTCGCTTGGCGTCGACCGCGCCCTCGGCGGCGTCTCCTTCGACGACGTCGAGGATGAGGCCGACGATCTCTACCTCACCGACATGAGCTTCATCAAAGAGTGGCTTCCCTCCGTTTCCCACACCCTCAAATCTTTCTCCATCTCCGATTTCTGGCTCCAGTCTTGTTGGCGCCGATCCGAAGCCTTATCCCTCATCTCTTCCACGTGTTAGCTTCTCGATTCTCAATTTACCTTCGTTTTTTTCCTTCTTTTACAAGAATGCAGTTTCTTGCGTCTTTTTATTCCGAAGTTTGTGTATTTTGTTGAATTTCAATTAGACTTAGAGGTTCACATATATCTCTATTTTACAATTTTTGTTGAAGATTAGCATGTGGTTTAGATTTGAAACTTCGATTCTAGTTGAAGAATAGTATTAAAAGAACGTAATGATATGTTTGAGACTTAGAGTTTCACATATATCTCTATTTTACAATTTTTGTTGAAGATTAGCATGTGGTTTAGATTTGAAACTTCGATTCTAGTTGAAGAATAGTATTAAAAGAACGTAATGATATGTTTGAGATGGTAGATGAAAATTGAAGAGAAAATGGCATATTCTTTACTCCCTGTTCAACGTACCACCAATGTCGAAATTTTAGTAGAAGGGAAATAGGAAAGAAAGAAAATTTTGAATCTTTATTTTAACTCGCGTTCTCTTCAATCCAGCAAAGCAAAAAAAAAAAAAAGAGTATTGTATTCACCTATGTCTTCATTTTTTCCATTCAAACATAACATAAGTATATGTGTCTAAGTTTTGTTAGTTATCCTTTTCGGTCTCTCATGGAAATGTGCGATGTGTCTTATTCAGGTGATAATCTTGTGAAATTGGTTGTGAGGAATGCGTGGTTATCCGTGGATGGTTTGTGTTTGATGCCAACGTTGAGATATTTGACCCTTGAGTTTGTAAGACTGGATGATGAGGATTTAAGCAGGATCAATGCTTGTTTCCCTAATTTGACTCAACTCAATCTTATTGGCGTTGGTGGGCTTAAGGAGCCCAAGATTAATCTCTTACACCTTACCACTTGTAAATGGTCGGTCTCAAATGCTCCACTTTCTTTGATCATATGTGCACCTAGCCTTGTTGATTTTAATCTCAGATGCATCAAACCTAGGTTGGTTGTCCTCGAAGCCCCTTCCTTGTCCAATTTTAATCTCTCACTCGAGAATACTGATGAACTCAGGTTGAAAAATTGTGCTAATATACAATGCCTTCAGCTTAGTGTAGAATGCCTCTCTCTTGGTTTTTTGTTTAGCATGTTTCGTCACTGCAGCACGGTGAAGAGACTTACCTTGGATTTGGTGGGAAGAACAGAACAGGTTGATGTGGCAGAGTTTGGGATTGATACTTTGTTGGATTGTTTTCCGAACATAACATGTCTTAATTTAGGTCCTAGAGCCTGGCATGTGATGGAGAATTCTTTTAGAAGGGGAGGTTTGGAAGATGGGATTGGCATGAAGATGATAAAGCAACTTATTGCACATCTAGTGGTCCATGAAATGGGGGTTACCCTTGCATTTATTTCCTCTGTTTTGAATAAAAGCACCGAATTATCTGATGTTTCGCTTCTTATCCATCGTGATGTTGATTCATATGTTGCTGGCAGCCTGATCTCTTCATGCAGAAGCAAATTCCCAAGAGTTAGATGGAGATGGGGAATTTGGAAAGAAGGAATCAAGGATACTTGGGTCTCTGATGGCATCTAGTTTGGTGCTTGCTTTCTTGGTCTTATCAAAAGGGGAGTTCTCATTGATATGTTTTATCATATTTAGGACATTGGCAGATTTTAAATACTTTCTGTTGAATCAACTCCAAGAGGTTAGGAGTTTTTCCATGTATTGGCAAACGAGAGAAATTTGAAGGAAACTAGATGAGGGATCAGAAAGAGAGGATTAGGAGTTTTTCCAAACTGTGGATCCCCCAAATTTCTTTGTAAAGGTCTTTAGGCTTGGTTGCTTGCTATTGTATTATTTCTTTGTATAGATCTTTGTGCTGCTCTTTTTTTTAGGCACAATGTATATTCTTGTATTATTCACCCCTGTTGTTGTTTTGTGGATTGAAGTTTAGGTGAGTAGGGTGGACTCACCAGGGTTATTCCTGTATTTTTATTACTTGTATATTTGTAGACCTATTAAAATACAAATATTTATTTTCCGAATTTTCTTGTAAAAAAAGTATCACAGTTATTCCCGCGTTCATCGAAATTGAAATGACATGGACTTTAAATTGAAAGGACATTTTGGAATTGAAATATACTTGTATAATTCTATTTAGGTTAATAGGGCAATAAATCTATCAGCTTTTAAAGTGTTGTATAATAAAACAAGATTAAATCAAGTTTGTAGACCACGTCGTACCTATTAAATTTGTTCCAAAAAAAGGCAAAGAGATTATTTGAGAGACATGAGTAAGAACAAAAGTGTTCCAGAAATGATAGAGTTACAAGAAAAGAGAAGGAGATAGTGAAGGGATACACTTTGATGAATATTTAATCACAAATTAAAAATAATTAATTGTTTTTAACTTATTCGGATAAAAGAATATGAAAGTAAATAAGAGACGAAGAAAATAGTAAATTAATATTGATTGTTAATAGATAATGATTTGTGATTTTAAACTAACACTTTAAATATAATAATCATAATTAAAAAAAAACTTAAAGAAAATGTGTTTTATAAAACATAAAATTTATATATTAAATAAACCAAAATTAATTACAAAAGTCGATAATCGATTATTTATATTATATTATAGATATATTTAACTAATTAGCTTATAAACAAATAATAAATCAAATATCAATTAATGTCCAATAGTGTTTTTAATAAAAACATAAAGAAAATCTCAATTAAAAACTCAACATAGAATTAATCTAAAATGTTTTCATTCATGGATTTATTGTACTCTCTTTCAACCTCAAATTAACTTTTTATTTCTTACAAATATAAATTAGATTAGCTCAAAGATGAATATCTTTTTTTCCACGTATTTGTATATTTTTCTTTGTATCAAATATAAACCTAAAGAACATCAAACAACGTCAAAATCCCATGATTCACAAAATTAATGATTAAGTGAATCAAATACAAACTACGAATTGAAATAAATAATATTGACTCTAAATTTATTCATATTTTGCTTAATATACGTATAAATCCAAAATATGTCTTCTACCATCATTAAAACGTTATAATCTAGTTATAGATTTCATGTTTCAGTTTTCATTATAATTATGTTGTTTTAACTATGATATAATGTATTTTCCTTGTTGCTTACAAGAAGAGAAAGTGTATTTTCATTTGTTATTCTTTTTTAAGTTTATTTTCCCTTCACGTACTCTTAAAATTATTAAGCTAACTTTTGCTTATAATGTTTTGAACAAAATATAATCTAATATAGATAACAGTAGATTGTATATTTATTATTATTCTCATTTCTATAAGGGCATTCATTACTTAACCATTTGTACAATTGTGAATGATAAGCTTAAAATTTCGGATTGGAACATATAGTTACTATATTTTTGATACTTTGTTATGTGAAAATCGACTCTTTCTTTCACCCACATATCTCTAATTCATATTTATGTTCGAAATATTTTATATAATTGATTAAATTTAATAGTTATATTTATATAATTCTTGCAATTCAACTATAGACTATAAAAAGTTTAAAATTTTTTCAGGTTCTAAATTAATATAAATTAATTATAAATTTTAATGATATATGAATAAAATTATATAAATATAAGTATCTAAAAAAGATTTTTTTTAATAAGAATCTATCGTTAAACCATTTATCCTATGTGTATTAATAATATTATACTATAAATTAAGTAGTGTCATATATTAATGATATCAATTTTAACTAGGTGACTTATCCTAAAATTCATAATGGAAATTATTATTTTTAAATAAAAAAATTTACCTAAAATGTGCATAAAGACAAAATTATATTTTAGCTTATCTTTTACGAGAGGTGGTGTTCAAAGAAATTATTAAGTGCAAAAGAAATTACATCGGAAAAGAAAGGGAGAAAGAAAAGAGACGTGGAGAGTGGGTAGTAACGTCACTGACACTACTAAGTGGCGCAGAATAATACGTTGAGTCTGGGCAAAGACTGAACAACACAAGAAGAATGGAATTACTTCCCACCGCTGTACCCCCGATCTCGAAGAAACAGGGGTTCCGATCGCTCAAGCTGGTCAACGCCGACATGGAGCAGCTTCTATCCGACCAACCCGTCGGCGTCGACTACGGCACCCTGGACAATGGCCTTCGATACTACGTTCGCTGCAATTCCAAGCCTCGCATGAGAGCCGCTCTCGCTCTCGCCGTCAGGGCTGGGTAACCAATAACCTAAATCTAACCTAATTATCCATATATTATGAATCATTCAATGCTGAATCACTAATTGTGATTTCGGTTACGGCAGATCAATTCTTGAAGAAGAGGATGAGCGAGGAGTTGCTCACATTGTTGAGCACCTCGCATTTAGTGCCACCAAGAGATACACTAATCACGACATCATCAAGTTCCTCGAGAGTATCGGAGCCGAATTCGGCGCTTGTCAGAACGCCGTGACCTCCGCTGACGACACCGTTTATGAGCTCTTGGTTCCGGTTGACAAGCCGGAGCTGCTCTCTCAGGCCATTTCAGTCTTGGCGGAGTTCAGTTCAGAGGTCTCAACTACGCAGAATTCTGTTATGCTCTGTTTGAATAACTCTGTTTTGTTATTCTAGCTTTTGTAATTGGATTGTTCTGTGTTTGTAGATTCGAGTGTCGAAGGATGACCTGGAGAAGGAGAGAGGGGCTGTCTTGGAAGAGTACAGGGGAAGCAGAAATGCCACGGGAAGGTTGCAGGATGCTCATTGGATATTGATGATGGAAGGTTCAAAGGTGCCTGTATCCAACACTTGCTACTTGCTATTATTAGCCAATGTTGATTAAAATGGTTAGAACATGTGATTGCAATTTGGGCAATTGTTTTATACCAATTGATGTCATTCCATAAAGTGTTTAATGGATTGCAGTATGCTGAGCGGTTGCCAATTGGCCTAGAGAAAGTGATTCGGTCTGTTTCTTCAGAGACTGTGAAGCATTTTTACGAGAAGTGGTACCATTTATGCAACATGGCAGTCATAGCAGTTGGAGATTTTTCTGATACGCAGGTGCTTTATTTTTTTACATCTGATTTTTGTTTGGGAAATTTACTGTGGATTATGCTTTCTATAATTACTCACACTCTGACAATTGCAGGGTGTAGTTGAGTTAATAAAGACTCATTTTGGCCAGAAAATTCCAGATCCTGATCCCCCACTTATACCAAAATTCCAGGTTCCATCACATGATGAGCCACGATTTTCTTGTTTTGTTGAATCCGAAGCTGCTGGGGTAAGTAGGTAACGAACCATTAACTTTTAATGCAAGTTCCAGGAGTTTTTATTGGTAATTTTCGGGCTTGGAAATTAACAATTTAATACGGGCTTTCCTAATAACAGTCTGCAGTGATGATTAGCTATAAGATGCCAGTGGATGAGCTTAAAACAGTGAAAGACTACCGAAATTTACTTGCGGAATCCATGTTCCTCTATGCCTTAAACCAGAGGTTCTTTAAAATAGCACGTAGAAATGATCCACCTTATTTCTCCTGTTCTGCTGCTGCTGATGTTCTAGTTCGTCCATTAAAAGCCAATATAATGACTTCTTCTTGTAAAAGAAAAGGAACTATTGAAGCCCTGGAATCGATGTTAACAGAGGTACTTTTCATCTTGACCTGAGTTTCATTTTCTTCATCTTTCTCTCTTTCCATTTTCTTCTTCCAGTTTCCTTCTTTTTTTGTCCCCTTTTATTTTGATATTTATGACAGTTATATTGCAGGTTGCAAGGGTTAGACTTCATGGCTTTTCAGAGCGTGAGATATCTGTTGTCCGTGCCCTATTGATGTCAGAGATTGAATCTGCATATTTGGAACGAGATCAAATTCAATCTACCAGCTTGAGAGATGAATATTTACAAGTATGTACATATTTTTCACATTAAAATGCCTAATAACAAACTATGGATGATTTTAGAGATAATCTTCTTTTTGTTCATGCAGCATTTTCTCCACAATGAACCTGTTGTTGGAATTGAGTATGAGGCTCAACTCCAAAAGACTCTTCTACCACGTGAGTTGACGTATCTTCTACCTTTTTCCTTTGATATTCTGGATAATCAAGTATTGCAGGCCTTGTAATTGATGTTGTATTAGTTGTTTATACCTATTAGATATATCAACATTAGAAGTCTCCAAGTGTTCTGAGAAATTAAGGACCACGTATAGCTGTGTCATAAAGACTATTGAGCCCCAACCATTTGCTGTGCTTGATGATCTGAAAAATGTTGTTATGAAAGTCAATCTTCTTGAGGAAGAGGGAAGAATCGCTTATTGGGACGATGAACATGTTCCAGAAGAAATTGTCACTACCAAGCCAAATATGGGGTGAGTTTGATTCAACCATGAAATCATTCTCTATTTTGAATTTTCATTTGCCAATATCGTTCTTTACTTTATGAGGTCTGGCACACCTCATATAGTCACATTTGCATGTATCCTCTGAATCATTGTTGTAAATCCGTATAATCAAGTCTCAACGCTGCTATTACTAAGTAGCTCCGGGTTGCTGTTTAAGGAATTGCAATTATATCCTATTATGAAAGAGTGG